GGAGGGATTTTTGCCAAAAGCTGCTGGATTCTAAGATTTGTTTCTAAGTCTCTGGGATCATGGCCGTTCAGCAACTCGATCAGGAGCTAGAGCCCTTCGTGGGTGGCCACTTGGGGTCTCATTCGGGCACCAGGGGCGGGGGGGAAGATGACCAGAATTCCAGAATTTTTAAGTCTATTAACAAGTGTTTTATGGCTGGGCCTCTCCCAAATGTTCAGGGTCATTATGCACTAGAAAGGAGCTAATGATATGGAACATTTCTATAAAGGCCCTCCCGTTGATCGTCGATTTGCTCGAGCGGGCCCAGTAACGTCTCCATTGGAGACTTTGTTGTACTGTGTCTGGCATATCGAATACTCTTGGTAGCTTGCCGGGCTCTCCGAGAGGGGCGGAGGAATCGAACTCGGGTCGGCCATGTTGGCCGCGTGTAAGGCGAACGCCCTACCCGCTGTGCTATCGCTCCAGCCCAGAACATTTCTATGGCCCTAAAAAAATCTCTTTATGGGGGCCATAGAGGTTGCTCAGTGATAGAATGTTTGTCTTGCGTGTATAAAATCCTTGTTTTGATCCTTGGCAAACACACATGCATTGTATCTTTGGATCCCATATCTATATCTGTCTATATATCTAGGGATGTGGACTATCTGTTAAGCCCAGTTGGTGCACAGGGCTTACTCCTGACTCTGCACTCAAGGATCATTCTTGGTGGGTTCAGCAGACTACATGGGGTACAGGGGATTGAATCCAGATCTGCCAGGTGTAAGGCAAGTGTCCTATATGCTGTACTATAGCTCTGGCCCCAAGTGGATATCTTTGTTTTGTTTTGTTTATTCTTTTTTTTTTTTTTTTTTTTTTTTTTGCGGAGTGTGGCGGAAAGGATGTTGGTGAGCCACAGCCAGTGATCAGGGCTTACACCTGGTTCTGTGCTCAATGACCATTACTCGCAGACTTGGGAAACCACATGGGGTGCCAGGGATCAAACCTTTGTTCACCTTTTTTGGAGGGAGTCATAGCCAGGAGTGCTCAGGGGATACTCCTGATTCAGTACTTAGGTGTTGCTTCTGGCAGTGCTCAGAAGACCATGTGGTATAGGGGATTGAATCAAGTTCTCCTGCCTGCAGAGCATTTACATCGGCCCTTGATGCTCTCTGGTCCTGCAGCAGACCTGCAGATATGAGGAACAGAAGTCCTAGAGGAGGATGGAGGTAAGAAAAGTATGCTATGCTGTCCTCTTTATTTTTATTTTTTTAATTTTTGTTTTTTTTTAATTTATTTTTTTGTAATGGATTCCCGTGAGGTGCAGTTACAGACTTACAAACTTTCGTGGTTACATTTCAGTTGTACAATGCTCAAGTACCCATCCCTCCACCAGTGCCCATTCTCCACCACCAGTGATCCCAGTGTGCCTCTCCCACCCCTACCTCATCCTCCCCACCCCGCCCCACCCCGCTTCTGTGGCAGGGCATACCCTTTTTCTCTGTCTCTCATTTTGGGTGTTGTGGTTTCATGCTGTTCTCTTTTGTCCTTTTTTCCTTTTCTACCTTTTGGGCCACACCTGACTATTCTCAAGGCTGTGTGCTCATGGGTCACTCCTGGTGAATTTGGGAGACAGTATGTGGTGTCAGGGATTGAACTGGGGCTTACAGTGAAATGCAAGTGCCTTAACCCCTATACTGTCTCCTTGGCCGAAACTGTGCTGTCTTGGGGCCTTGTGGAGAGAATGTGTGGAGAAGAGGAACTTTATAGACCTAACCCAATATTTGTTTTTATTTTTAAATTCTATTTTTATTCAGTTAACATTTAATTAATATGGGTTTTGTTGTTGTTGATTTTTGGGGGGTTACACCATCTGTGGTTAGGGCTTACTCCTGGCTCTGTGCCCAGGGATCACTCCTGGAAGTCTTGGGGAACCATATGAGGCACCTGGCGGGGTAGAATTCAGGTTGGCTGCATACAAGGCAAGTACCCTCCCTGCTACACTGTCACTCATTCAGTAAAAAAACCCTAAAATTAATTGTCTTAACGTTTTGTTTCCTGAACCACATATTGCTGAAGGATTCTGAATAAAATTGGTGTATTTGGGTGGGTAACTTGGGGGTGTAGGCCTGGGTATATTTAGTATGGTTTGTCCACTGTGGAGGAAGCCTTGTACATGTCTTAGATACAGGGAGAGGCTGGACAGTCAAGAGGACCTGTCCCGTTTCTCTCTTCCAGCAAGCAGACACCTCTTTTGTGCCTGACTTTCTTTTTCTGCAAAAATTTCATCGTTGTCCTTCCTCTTCCTCCTCCTCCTTTTCTTTTTTTCCTTTCCCTTCCTCTTCCTCCCCCTCCCCTGCACTGCTCAGAGGTAACTCCTGGCTCTATACCCTGGAATTACTCTTGGTGGTGCTCGTGACACCATATGAGATGCCAGGGATTGAACCTGGGTCAGCTGTGTGTAAGACAAATGTACTGTTATAGACTTACCCACTGTACTGTTGCTCCGGCCCCCTATCACTGCTCTTTTTAATTTGAAGCCCAGTGAGGGAAATGAGTCGTCAGCAGACAGAGACAGGTGTAATTCAGGACTATCTGGATAATAAGGTAAAAAATGTAAAAAGTTCTGAAGCTCACAAAGAGGAGGTTGGGAGCTTTGTCCTGGAGTCTGGGGATGCGCTGCTTGGCTCAGCTCTCTGAGGGCCGTCTGCATCATGTTCTCTGTTCCATGTGCCCCTTGTGGGTGGAGTGTGTGGGGGAATAGAGGCTGGAGGTGTTTGCAATAACACAGTTGTAGGATAGTTGCAGAGAAAGTGCTGCAAATATTTTTTATTGGTTCTCAGTATCATCTTTCAAGATTTCCTCTTCTGGTCCGTTCTCTCCCCTACCTCCCTCCATTTCCCACTTCGTTAGATGTGACATTTCCTTCTTTTCCTGTGTGGTGAAGGCATGAGGGAGGGGATACAGTCAGGAGACTTATCATTTTGACGTCCCAGTGATGAATCACCCAGTTGTCTTCCTGGTGGAAGTCTGTGCTCTCACACGGATTGTGGGGTTTAGTTTCCTTATTTGTGATGTTCCTCTTCTTCTGGTCCCTGTGATTCACCTCCAGAGGAAGTATCTGGAGTAGAGCCCGGGGCTGATTAGAGCAGGAAGAGACAGAGCAGAGCAAGATAGGAGGGGCACTGTTTGTAAGGACGACTGGGTGCTCCAGGGCTGAAGGATGTTGGGGACTGAGAGTTAAGATAGATAAAGGAGCCCGACAGGATGGGTACAGAATGCTGGTGTGGGTCCTGTAATTGCTGCATCTCTACTCTCTGTCCCAGAAGAGTATCACCTGGAGAAATCCCATTACAAAGACGTTTGTCTCAATATACTAAGGCCCTCGGATGTGTAAAAGTCTAGTGGGATAGATTGGAAGATAGGCATTTGACCAAGGCATGCTCTCCTTCTGATAACTTCTTCAAAGTGGGAACTCGGTCTGTGAGGCTGCCAGTCCCCTGACCCCCATGCCTTTTCTCTCTTATTTCTCTCTTAATCCTTGCAGCATCCCCACTTCAGACCTGAGGAGATGAGTGCGTGTGTGCGGGAGTGAGAGGGGTGGAGGATGTTGGAGGGTGGGGGACGGTCTTTGAAAATAACACCTAGTTGGTTTAAGCTTAGGAGACTCTGTGTTTCAATTGCTTGTAGTTTCTAGGACGTCCAGGTGGTCTCAGGGGCTTTGTGGCAGTGAAGGAATTGGACGTGTCACAGTGATAACAGTAGTAGATGTTCTTAGCACCACTTGTGCTTTTAGAACACTAGAATGCTATAAATATTTTTTGAACAGTCTAAAAGATTAAACAAGAAGCAAATAGAGTATTTAGGACATCTTAGAACCATGTGATTTTAGAGCTGAAAAGGATTCTAGAGATTGCCTGGCATGACCCCCCTATGGATGAGGTGCAGAGTGGGGAAAAATGTGTTGGAAATCACTTAGATAGCTAGTCTGGTTCAGATCCTAAAACACATATCTCACCTGTAGAGTCTGTAAAGAAGATGCTCAGGGATGATTTTTCCTTTGGGCCGCCCAGGCAGTGCTCAGGGCACATGGGGGTTCTCCTCTTGGTGATTCTCTGCAGTACATGTGAGGGTCTGGGATGGGTGCTACTGGGGCCTGTGCTAGGGATCATCCAGGTCAGCTTGGTGGTTACTTGGGGGCCTCGAGGTGAGGCTCCAGAGGAGCACTCAGGGGACCATGTGATATCAGGGACCGAACAGGGGTAGGCTGCATGTAAGGTCTCTCTGCGTGTATGTGTGTGTGTATTTTTTGAGTCTTCAAGGAAGCTTCTGCACTCATTTTTCTGACTAATTAATGATAAATAACTTATTGCCCAGTCACCTTAGCCTCCTGGCTATGCTGAGGGCTCAGGTGACCCTGCTGCCTTCCCCCAAGGTTATGTTTTAGAATTAAGTTAGTCTAAATTGAGATGCAGCCCCTGGAGATTACAGGGTGTGGGAGCAGGGGGTGTCGTGAGAGACTTACTAGTTGGAGCCACAGCTTAATTAAAATTTTAAGATGGTAGATTTTGGAAAGATATTTTAGGGTTGCGCTTTGAAATCTGTGGTCTTTTGGTATGTTGGAGGGAAAGAAATATCTGCTGTGTTCACTGTGAGGGCTTGACTGTAGTTGACTTCGGCTTGTTGCAGTTAGATGAGGGTTGTTTCAGTTTCATCTGTTTCTGCTGGTTCCCTTTTCCTTATTTCTCTCAGCGTTTTTCTCAGTTCTGTCACCCTCTTCTCCCGTGCTCTGCCGGCGCCCCCCTCCCCTCACCCCATTTCTCTCCCTCTGTCAGTCTCTTAGAGCTACTGTCGGTTGACTGAGGAGGAAATGGAATGGAAGCTTTGACCTGTAAGTCAATTTCCCCAGGTGGATAAACTCCACTGCAAGCCACAGAGGGGCCTCCTCATTCCAGCAATCTGGCCTTGCTGACAGACTCAGCCTATGGGGGCAGGGGCGCGGTGGGAGCCCGTATTTCTTGGACTGGCGAGGAGCTGCCGGAGCCTTTGCGATCTCCGCAGAGGAGACGGGAGCCCCCGGGTGGGCAGGTCGCCTAGGCTGGGGATGCCTGGGCAGATGTGGAGGCGGCTGGAAAGGTGGCACTGCTGGCGGGTCGCACGATCTGCCGCCGTTCCTAGGCGACGGCGAGAGCAGCAAGCCTGCGGGGGAGGGGGAGCAAGTGGGTTGCTGCTTTTAGCAGCTGAAAGGGCTGCAGGGAGCTCTGGGTAAGACATTTTCTGCTGCTGCTGCTTCTGCGGTAGAAGCTGCTGCTAGTACGGCAGAGGAAGGAGGATCGAGAGGGAGGAGGCTTCATTTGCAGCCATGCTGAATCACTGTTGCTGATCAGATCTCCCGCGGGTTGGCTGGAGAACGGAGCTAGGAGCCCTGGGTGTCTGCACAGTTCAGCGACTGCCACCCTGGCTGGGCCTCGCACAATGGAGGGCGAAAGGTATGTATGTGTGTGCGTGTGCGTGTGCGTGTGTAAGTGAATGTATGCTCCAGTGTTTTGTATGTGTTGACCTGGCCACTGATGGATCCCAGGGCTAGCAGTCAGAGCAGGGAAGTCCCTTTCTCCAGAGGAGCTCCAGTTTCCGCAAAGCCAGGGCAGCTTTGCTGGGTAGTGGAGCACCCCAAAAGAAGGAACTTCCTGGCTGGTGAGATCGGGAACACTTTCAGCTTCGGCTGAATCAGGCGGCTTCAAAGAGGCGTTTCCCTTTCCTGGCCACTTTCCTGGGTGTTTTTCTTCATGGTTTTTTTTTTTTTTTTTAATGTCAGTGTCGCTGGTCTTGCATTTTCACAATGAAGTGTCCAAGTCTTCAGCAAGCATGCCATGTTGATATCTTTCCTAAAATTGTATGTGTGTATGTGTGTGTATGTGCACGCGCGCACATGCACGCATGCGTGCTGTATCACACATGTTCACAATTCAAGTAAGCTGCAGAGAAACCCATGCAGATGGCATTTGCTCGAATTGACTTTCATTTGCATTGAAAACTTTATGAATGGCACTGCAAGGGTGTGCTTTAGAGGTGTGTGCCCACTTCTTCCATCAGGAGGTTCTTAAGGCAACAGGAATCCACAGAGGTGCTCTAAAGGGAGCTTATTTTGTGCCAGGCACATGCCTATCCATTTTAACCTGTTCTCTGAGTATCCAATTCTCTGTGTGAAGGGCTGCACGGGGTGGGCTGCTTCTCGGTCTTTTGGTAAAACATTTCTTCATGTCGTGCCAGTCTCTTGATTCTTTGGGACTGCAGCTGGTAGAGAACAAAGCTTGATGTTTTCATTGAGGGGAGAAAATGGCAGGGAGGGAGGGATTGTGGCAGTGCAGCACCGAGGGGAGGGCTCAACCTGCTTATATGCTGAAGGTGAGAGACTGGTTAAGTCCTAAGGGGTGCAATGAAGGCCACACATCAGGGAAGCTCCGCGCACACTTGCCTTGGCGTGGATTGTCCCCACTCCTGGATCGTGCAGGGCACAGGGTTGCCATTGGTTTCTCTAGACCTTAGAAGAACAATTGGTCGTGACTGTCAGGGGGCCTAAGGCTGAGTAGTCCTTGGGCACCATATCTCCTGGTCTGACTGCTGCTGAAAGAGTTGAAGACTTTTTAGATTGATGTTGCTGTGGGTGTAGATACTCCCCATACTCTTTGCAGTTGGGTCAGAATGGTGGACTCTTGTAGCCTGCAGGGCTACTGAGCTTCAGAGTTCATGTGGCCAGGGCTCTTCACCTCCTCCTGTTGGTCTGCACCTTAGCGCAAGGGCCTGAGCAATAGGAGAGAGGTTGAGAGTTTTGAACCAGGCCTGTTAGCTGGGCCTGTGATACATGGCTCTGTAAGGCCCGTGTGAGAGAAGCAGCAGCTGATCCCAGGACATCTTGCCAAGCACTTTGGACACTATGGTCCTCCAGTACTGTGTCCCAAAATGTTGTGAGTCTTTGCCCCCAGTGAAAACTTTGTTCTTCAACACTCTAGTGCCTCTCAGCGGGGATTCCTGATGTCCTGAACTTCATAATACCTGGTTCTTTGTTTTTGTTTTTTTTTGTTTTGAGTGACAGCTATGGGTCAAAGGCTATTCCTGACTCTGCTTAGGGATCCTTCCTGGTGGTGCTCAGGGAACCATGCAGCATTGGGGTTGAACCTGGAAAAGTTCTTTGAGCCATTTCCCTGCCCGACACATTCTTTTGGGTACATATTCTTTGACTTTTTCTTTAGTAAAGTCAGAGTGTAGGCAAGAAATCCAAACTGAACAGCTTCCGCCATCCGACTGACCAGCTCTCACTATTGTTTATTCCTATTCCACGGGCAGCCGATCATTCCTGGCATCCAAGCCTTCTGAATTCTCTACCCAGGCACAGCAAATGCCCTGTTGGTCTCTTTAGTCTCTTCCCTCCTGTCTCTCTACTCCCTCAGCCCCAGATCCTTGGCTCACAGTTCCTTTTGCCTGGATTTCAGGGCTCTTTTAGAATTCTGCTTTGTTTTGGAAATTTCAGCTTTCCTAGTCCTGACTAATTTGCCAAATTTCAATACCTCTAGATTGTATCTCATAGTTGGGCTTACTGAATAGTAAGGCTACATGCTGAATTCAAGTGAGTGTATGTGTGTGTGTGGGGAGGGGAAGTGCTGGGAATCAGTTCTAGGATCTCTCTAGGGCTCGAAGTTTTTAACTGCCAATTGCTGCAGGATTCACATATGTGCTCAGTGAGGGCTGTACTACTGGACACATTGCTTGTACAATTCTATTGTTTTGCTTACTGGTACTTTCTAGTATTGTACTTGGTTGGATTTCATTGTGGATCTCAGGGTTCAAGTGGCAGAACTGTCAGGGCTGCCCATGGTGCATGTGGGCAGCCCTGGAGATCAAACTCATGACTCAGGCTTGGAAGGCAGGCACTCTGTAGCAGGACTTCTTAAACTTGTCCTGCTCTGGATACCTTTTCACCTGAGAATGGTATTTTAAAGCCATACCTGGCTTTATGCACAGGACTTACTCCTGGCTCTGATCTCAAGGATCATGTCTGGCGGGGCTCTGGGAACTAACTGTGTGGGGTGCCAGGGATTGAACACAGGTTGCCGTGTGCAAGGCAAACACCCTATTTGCTGTACTGTCTATCTAGACCCTGAGAACTTTTTTGTTTCTTTGATTTGGGACCACACTTGGCAGAGCTAAGGGGCTCCTCTTGACTCAGTGCTTGGGGAATGTTCATAGCAGTGCTCAGGGGCCCCTGTGGTGCCAGGAATTGAACCTGAGCCTCCTGTATGTGAAACATATGCTCCAGATCCTTGAGTAATCATCTCTCTGGCCCCTTTCCCAAAAATCTTCATGTGGTTTCTAATATAAAAATGTATATACAGAGCAAACATTCAAACATTTACTGATACTAAATTGTACATTTTAAGGCAAGATTTTCAAGACCTCTCTTCTCCTGCCATTCCAAGATTCGAGCCCAGCTCCATTCCCACAGAGCCGTCCCCTGGCCCTGTACTTTCACCATCCTCTGGCCCTACACTTTCACTTTATCTGTCTCAGGTCTCCACACTGGAGGCTGGTTCTCAAGAGTAAGAATGGACCCTTGTAGATACATGTACTCATTGATCACTGTGAGGCTGTACACATATAGGTAAGGGTAATTATTTGTTGATTAACTGATAACTTTGTGGGAAGTTCTGATATCTGCAAAGAAAGTGAGAGAGGATATGGAAACTGCTAGTCAAATAGGTTCATCCTTGGATATGGGCCTTATTATCTCAGTATGGGTAATTGACTCTGTGGAATTCTTTGAGGTAGGGGAGCACCAGGTGCAGCCTGATTTTACAAGTGCCCTGGGAAACCCAGGGCCTGCAAAGCCAACTTGCTGGGCTAGAATCACATGTCGAGCCTCCAAAGACTGGAGGAATCCTGAATCTGTTGCTTGTTCCACACTTAACTTGCTGAAGCTTAACTGGGGCTGTTTTTAAGCATAAATTTAAGTCGAGATTTCTAATGAACACATTTCTTTCTTTGTCATGAGGGTATGAAAACAACTTACACCGTGAAAAACTGTTAATTGAAAGTATGGACTTTGGAATAACAGAAACCTTGGCATGAATCCATACTTATTGCTGTGTGACCTTGAATGTATAAGTTTTTCAGAACTCTTTGCAAGGGAATAATGACTGTGTGTGTGTGAGTGTGTGTATGTAAAGGACATAAAAACAGTGTAAACCTCAGAGAGTTTTGGTCAAGATTGAATGAGAAAATATGAATAAAGGGTCAAGTAGTATTTTTTTTGGCACATCTGAAGTGCTCATAAATGGTTAGTATTTTTATTATTAGTGTTCATCTGTTGTGCTGTTGTACTCCATGACTTTTGCTTGCAGATAAACCAAAGTTTATTTTATCAACTTCCTTTATACTTACCATCTACAGATGATGTGGACCATTCCCAAAGGGAAACTGGAGAGAGAACTCATTAGGCCAACATTTTGCTCCTCCTTAAACTAGCCCCTCTACTAAATTAACATATAGGGTTTAGCACTTTCTTTTCTGGGTTTCACCAAGCCATGCCACCTACACCCTTGCTTTGAAAAATATATAAAGACTACAGGGGCTAGAGAGATAGTATAGGGGTTGAGGCATCTACCTTGCATGTGGCCAGCTGGGGTTTGATCTCTGGCAGTACAAACAGCCCCCTGAGTACCAAGAGTGGCCCCTGCATAAAGAACCAGGGATAAGCCCTAAGCACTCCTAGGTGTGACCTAAGCCCCCTTATTCCTCCAAAGAAAAGTTAAAAAAATGAGACTGTTGGGCTATATACAGTGTGCTTGGGAGGCCCTGCGGTGTTGAGGGGTTGAACTCAGGCCTTGCTGGGCATGTACACCCACTTCCAGCTGGCTCTTCTCAGTCTTAGTCCTTAGTTTCATAGCCTAATATTAGGGCTTTGAAACTTAGGCCACAGTATTAAAAGAATCTGTGAGTTTCCACTTATCTTTGCTTTGTCCCCTTAGCTTTCCTACTCTTTACCAGGCCCCCTGATGCTGAGTTTCCCTTCTTTTCGGGTTGATTGGTGAGATGAAGATGACTTCGACTTACGTTTCTTTTTTTCGTGGCACTGGGATGGAGCCCAGGTCCTCATGCATGCCAGGCAAGTGCTCTGCTTTTGCGCTTCATCTTTTTTGGCCTTGACTTTTATTTTGTGAAGGAAAATGGTTTCCGGCTCTCAGCTCTACAGTGGTTAATTTGGTTGTGTAAGCATGTGTTTATGTAGAACTGATCAACTTTGAGAACAGCACTTATTCTTGCTAATGGAATTTTATTTCAGTTCTGGAAATCAGCTTTCTGGAAAGAATTAAATAATGCCCAGCTTACATGAGACACCTACAATAGCAAAATTAATAGAGACAGAAAGTGGAAGGGTGGTAGCCAAAGATTGGGGTGAATTACTATTTAATGGGAATGTTTAATGGGAATAGAA